CATTTCTTTTATGGCTAGGGAGGTTGAGCATTTCTTCATGTGTCTATTGGCCATCCTTCTTTCCTCTTCAGAGAAGTTTCTCTTTAAAAGTCTTTAGCCCACTTGTTTATTGGGCAGTTGTTTCTTTGAAGATTTGTTGTTGGGGGATTTAATATTTTGAGTTCCAGGTATATTTTAGATATGAGACCCTTGTCCGTTGTATGGATAGTGAAGTTCTTCTCCCAATCCGTGGGCTTTCTATTGATCTTGCTAGCTGTAAGACAGGCCCTATTGTATTAGTCCTATTTTACCAATGAGGGAAAACTAAAAATAATAAAATCTAAGAGCATATCACAAGGAGCAAAGCCAGGTTAGGGGCAGAGTTCTCTGAGGCTTCCTTGTTATGTGTTTTCTCCCAATATTGCATAGATTCTTTCATGAACTCATCCTCTATCAGACATTCATCCTCAGAATCACAATAACAAGCCCCAGTCAGATCCCACTAGTCCTCAGGACAGGCATGCATTCAAAGTCTTAAAGAATTTCTGAATCTATTTTGCTTTGTCAGGAATTTTTTATTACCCAAGCTCTGAAATAGGGACTTCCTGGTCAGATGAAGTCACTGCCAGATTTTAACCAACAGTTCCTGGTTTTTCCCACTTTCCCACAGATGAAACCAATAAGCCAACTCTCTCTAAAACAAGAGTCAAGCTCTGACTCTCAGAAACTGTCAAAGCATTTTATCCAAAGGGTTGCTTACCCAGCCAGAATGCTTACTTTCAGCAAGAGTAAAAAGGTGGGGGAGGATCGGGTGTGTGTGTGGGGGGAGGTATGGGAAGGGATGGGAAGGGGAAACAAAGGAGGAGGCTACAATGCTTGATAAGAAATGTACTCCTTATCTTGTCCATGTAATTGTAACACCTCTGTACAGTATTTTCACACACACAAAAAAGGTGCATAATAATCCCTACCCTGAGTCCACTTTCATTGGTGACCCAGAAGACTTTACTTTCTGGTCTCAGGAACTGTTCTAAACCTGGGCAGTGTTCCATAGTGATGTTTTCAAAATACTACAACCCCAAGCAGCAGAGATCAATTCATGCCAGCGCCAGAGCTGGCACAGTTCCTGATCTAAGCATTTCAGCCCTTCAGTTCTGGTTGCTACTAAAAAGTTTGATAAGAGGAGCAGACAGAAGCCTTTATTGTTAGGCCAACTTGGTTTGGAAGCAAAATCTGGGTAGCCTAGCTGTA